ATAGAGGAAAAACCCCTCTTTGGGATCACTCCATAACACTGAATTTAGGATGAATATGCAGCTCTTTGAGGCAAGAGCTCACTTCTCATACTGCTCAGCCCTCGCCAAATGGTAAGGACTGATGAATATTCTAAACACTGAGTCTGCACTTGAGTACATCCCAACCTTGTCCCCTCTTCCAAGCACCCCCATCAGAGCTCTGCATATCTGAACAGCAGCCACCCTAAACAGGCTCAGCAGGCTCCCTGGGAGTACAGGAAGAGCATGTTAGCACTGACACCCAGAAAGGGTGGGAAAGCCCATTGTCTTCTCCCATACTTATGCTCTTGAAGGTGCACAAGGAAAGCCAAGCTGGAACAGGTCCCTGCTCTTCATGAAAGAAAGCCTGATCTCTTGATTCTCACATAAACCTCCATTTTTTTGGATGATGTGATTTTTTTTTAACTGGGAAACTAAATGGTGAGGGAAAATTTGCTGAACCCTGAGATATGATTATCTCCAAGTATTTGCAATAAAAAGCATTACCTATATATTAGAAAAGCCTCCATTTGGGGGCTCATCACGAATTAGGTTGTCAAGTCACAACCATTGCCATCAAATAATATCCAATGGTTCTTTCAGTGTGGTCACTACAGATGCCACACATCACTGAAAAAATGAGTACCATGGCTTTCCAAGTATACAGCATTCACCTCTCATCATGACATGTGAGGAAGTTAAAAATCACTCCTTTCTCTTTTCATTCTTCACCTATTAGTTATCCATCAATTCAACAAAATTTTATCACACACCTACTATGTGTCAGAAATACACATAGCACTATGTGCCAGGATACAGCAATAATAACAACAAAAGAACAACAGCAATCATACCCAACACCCATATAGTGCCTGCTTACTCTAAGCCAGGAATTAAGCATATACATTAGCTCATTTAATCCTTGTACCCATATCCTGTGAGGTACAATTATATGCCTATTTGCAGATGAACAACTAAAGTACAGAAAGATTAATTTCTCAAATCACACAGTACATTTCAGAGCCAGTTTTCAAATCAGCATCTTTTAACTCTAATGTCCACGTGCTTGACCTCTATGCTATATAAAGAAAAACAGACAAGACCTTATGGAATTTTCAATGTACTGGAGAAGACAGAAATTAAATAAACATGAGAATGCACTATAATTTCAAATGCTGATGAGATCTATGAGACAAGAGCAGGGTGCTATAAAATACGATAGCATAACATTGCAAAGGTTCTTCTTGTAGGCTAAGGAATACAGGATTACCTTTGAGACTCTCAACTTACCTAAATGACAAAGTTATAAAATTTAAGATAGCAAGCTAGCCAAAAAGAATTTGGGAGAACTGTGGTTGGGAGGCTGGAGGAAACTGACTATACAATTCAGTCCTTAACCCTTGCCATAAAGTCTTGCCATCTTGGTGGCCATTCTTGGTGGTACATTCAGAATGGTGACAGATGAGGAATTTGGGGGATACAACACACTTCTTTCCTTATCTCTCCAGCATAAGAACATCCAGCCTGGATCAGGTACCACTTCTGCCCGGATGAAAGTGAGTACCTGTCCTCATCTGCAGCCTTCCACCAGGAAATCCACACTGGATGTCTATGAAAACTTAAATTCCACCTTTTAGCTGATTATATATATATAATATATATATATATAAAATGGTGAATACATCAGCTTCTGGAAACAACTCAAGGTATGGATTATAATCAGTAGAACAAACAAAACACTTTAGTGAAATATGGCTGTTAGTAGACTTGGAAACCAACTGAAATACTGATTTAAAGAGAACAAGAACATAGAAGCAGAGAATCAAGTTCCCAGAGGGACAAAATTCCCTTTCTATCTTGATGGAAAAAAATATATTCTGGAATTTATTACCCTGCTTGAGCAATTACAGATGTGTGTGTGTGTGTGTGTGTGTGTGTGTGTGTGTGTGTGTGTGTGTGTGTGTGTTTTCTTCTCAAGAAGTTGTCTCTGTATATTTAGGAAAGTTTTACATCTCTGATTGTCATTATTTATTTTATGCATTATTTTTATGTCTTCAGTCTTTATATTAGGCGTAGTCCATAAGTACAGGATTACATCCAAAGTGAGTGTGACATATTAGCGCCTAGTTCTGTGCTTCCTACTTTCATGCTAGTGAGGTTAATAAAGATTTAAGGGGGAGAGAGAGGGTAAGGTTTTTATAACAGTGCCATTAGTTACATGTGCTTCACACATCTAGACAGATGAACAACATCATTTTCAGGTTCGATAAATTAATTATTTTTTCTGATTCATTGTTCAGAGTCATAAAAATAATAATTCTTGATATTGTATGACCACAATAAAGCCTCCTGCTTCATCATCTGAGTGTACCATTTCATATAAGATTATATATTTTACCTGGCACTAATTTAGGATGTTACTGTAATAAAATGCTTAGATAACTAAATACACAAGTGAATCATTTGCTTTCCAATGAGGGCTAAACAATCTCTAATAAGCAAATAGTACAGTAAGTCTCACCGTTCATATTTAGCAAATTACACCTGAGATTAACCTAGGAGCAGTTAAATAATAACTAGGAGGAGGCTGCTTGACAATAAAGAGGAATAGCCTAAAGGTCAGAACCTCAACTTTCAGTCACTTACAATACATGTTAAATTTCTCATTAGTGTCATGAGACTTTTGAAAAATCCTGAAAAAAATGTTAAAAGTGGCATTCTTCAGAAACATCTTCTATATCTCATTCCTTAAAAATATGTGAATATAACTGACTTAGATTTTTATTTGACCTGTCACTATAATCCATTTTTCTTTTATTAGTATACTTCGTTAATGAACAAAATCATGTTGTATAGTTTACACAGAAATAACATACCAAATAAATTGTAAATAAAAGTTTAAAAAAATATGACACTTAAGGTTCTATGCTTCTTCAAACTGAAGTAAAATTCCTTATATCTTCTTTGGTACAAAGATTACATTTTACATAACATGAAAAGCAGAACAGTATATGTCAAATGTCTGAGAACAACATTATATTTCAGCATTTCAGAGCAAATGATTTTTGTGTGATCTATTCCAGAAAAGAAAAAGAAAAGAAAAACACCGTAATAGTTGCAGTTTGTATTAACTTCAAAGCCAGTATATCTTTCCCAAAGATAATTTTCTGTCTTTAGGAAAAAACAAACAAATAAACGAGTTTAGAGTATAAAACCTCATAAAAATCAAATATTTAAGAGCATGTTGTTGAGAAATCACCTGCAAATTACTTTCAGACCTTTAAAAACAATCTAATTTGACTCAACAGCCTAAATAGGTCATTTAACTCCGAAAAATTAAAATTAGCTATGCAGGGTCAATTATTTTTTTTCTCCAAAAGCTGCATCCTGTATGTCCTATTCCCTTCAAAGTCAAACCAGAGCTAAGTGTCAAGAACAACCATAATACATAAATATATTCCAGATCTCAAAGTTATTCTGCTCTTGACAGGGCCATAAAAGTTAACATTATATATAAAAACACGGAGTGAGGAGGTGCATCAAAAAGTTGCAGGTTGGGGGACAGAAGTCGCAGAACTCTCACATTTCAGGAGGACAATGGTATGTGTGAGGGAGGTGGGTCTCTCCAGGAGTTCATTTCTCCCTGTTCACATACACACTTTCCCAGTACATGGCAAATCAAAATCAGGAGAGACACACTTTGTACAAAACAAACACATCCATACGAGTTTAGCCTCCCACAAGTTTCTCTTTTGTTATCAAACTAGTAATGTAAGCTCGTGAGTCTTAATGCTGTTGCTCAGCACCTTTAAGGATTTAATCATCCTACAATACTTGAGAAAACTCAGGGATTAAATCCCTATTTCCCAGAAAACCTTCCCAGGAATAAGATGACAGAATCTTGAAACTAGCATCGTAAGTGAACAATAAAATACAACAAAACACAAATGAGAAGTTTAGCTGCCTGAGATAGTCAGTACTCTTCCACAACCAGACTATCCATAAACTCAAAAGGGTCTCAACAATGTTGAAACAGGAAAATGTCAAGGATCTGAGGACCCCTGACTTTAGAAGAAAGGACATCCAAGCCAGCTGGCAGAGAGGATACTGGCATGGGAGAAGTACAGTGAGGAGTCTGATTTATTTCAGGACTCTTCAAAGCCACCAGGAAATGCATCCTCATCCTTTCTGGGTTAAAAGTAACTTTGATGCTTGGAAGTACGTTCACATCCTCCAGCTCGCAACAATATACCATCCACAGGCAAAGAGTGATCAGAGATGCTAATGAAACAGATTTTGCTCTCTGCCCACTCCCCTGAAGCCACTTCCCCAAAATGAAATCCTGAACAATCTTGAATTCCTAAAGTCTTCTCTGTTTAGAGATGAAACCGAAGGACCTTTGTCAAGGAGGCAAACTGAAGACTTGACATTGGGAACTGCTGAGGAACGTTCTAAAGTACATTTTTCTTAAAAGGGGAGAAACCCAAAACAGGATTTATTCACCCCCAGGCGGAAGCTAAAATATTTATGACTGTCCGGGATAGGTATGACCACTGTCACTCCATTCCCCCACCCCCCATCCCCACGAAGCAGACAGAAACCGTCCCAGCAGCGAGGGGCCGAGCGGCCTGGCTGCTTCTTGCACCGTAACCTCTCTAAATCCGCTTTTCGCTCCGCGGTGCCAGTCCCTCCTCAGGCCCCCCGCCCAGCTCTCT